AACATGGATGTCGGTAGTCTTCCATGTATCAGATGAATCATAAACAATGTAAAAGATTATTCTATCATTGTGGCATGTTTGCTTTTTCATTGTGATGTATACTTCTCTTCTTTTTTCACACCTCTCACCATTTTATAAAAATTAAAGTTACACTTTTCCTTAAATCTTATAGAAAAGAGGATGGGAAGAAGAGCACTCTGGACAGCTAAGAATAACAAGCAACATTGAAAAGGAAAGCAAACCAAGCCAGAAATCAAAATATTTTCCATTTTCTTCAGAAAACCACACAATTCTCCTCTTCCTCCAGCAGCTCTTAGGAAAAAAAGAGAGAAAATCAAAAAAGATTTCAAACTGGAATAAGTAGATTATTCAGAACTCAAGGACACTTTACATGAAAAGTGAAGGGAGATTATTTTTAATTCATTAAAAGAGTGAAATATCTGGAAGTCGGTTGGAGGGAAAGGTGAGTAGGAAAGTCACGTAGAGCAGAGTCATGCAGGCCTCACACTGTGAGGAAGAGAACAACTTGAATGAAAGCACCACTAAACAAGGGATTATCCATATTTTTGACTTCCTCAAGAATATCAGCTGTGGAAAAGCTCCATAGTTGTGTCTATTGTTAGAAAAGCATAGATTGCAAATCACAACTGATTATGCACAAGAGGAGCCACACAGCAGAAAAGCCATACAAATCATCTGATTGTGGCAAAAGCTTTAGTCAGAACAGCTCCCTTGTGGTTCATGGAAGGACCCACACAAGAGAAAAGCCATAAAAGCACTCCTAGTGCAGTAAATGCTTTAGTGAGCATGGCAACGTGGTGATACATCAGAGGATTCACAGCAGAGAGAAAACGTATGACTGTACTGATTGTGCGAAAGTTTCATTACAAATTCCCATGTCATGAGGCACCATAGGAGATACACAGAAGAGAAACACTTTGAATGTGCTATCTGTGGGGAAAGTTTCAATAGAAATTCCCATCTGGTGAGTCACCAGAGGACTCACACAGGAGAGAAATCCTTCGAATGTCCTGATTGTGGGAAACGTTTCAGTCAGAATTCCTGCCTTGTGAGACACCAGAGGATTCACACAGGAGAGAAACCCTTTGAATGTCCTGATTGTAGGAAAAGTTTCAGTCAGAATTCCAGCCTTGTGAAACACCAGAGGATTCACACAGGAGAGAAACCCTTTGAATGTCCTGATTGTAGGAAAAGTTTCAGTGAGAATTCCAGCCTTGTGAAACACCAGAGGACTCACACAGGAGAGAAACCCTTTGAATGTATTTATTGTGGGAAAAGTTTCAGTCGCTATTCCATTCTGGTGACCCACCAGAGGACTCACACAGGAGAGAAACCCTTTGAATGTCTTGTTTGTGGGAAAAGTTTCAGTCGCAATTCCATTCTGGTGACACACCAGAGGACTCACACAGGAGAGAAACTCTTTGAATGTCCTGATTGTGGGAAAAGTTTCAGTCAGAATTCCAACCTTGTGAAACACCAGAGGACTCACACAGGAGAGAAACCCTTTGAATGTCCTGATTGTAGGAAAAGTTTCAGTTGCAATTCCCACCTGGTGAGACANATCCGTGGAGGGGGTGGGCACGGGAAGGGGACTGGCGAAGAGAAAGAAGAAGCAGAGGGAGGCAATGATCCTAGGCAGCCCAGGTGGAACAAGCAAAAGAATGACACGGGCGGACTGCTGAGGGATATAGGAGATACGGCCAGAGAAAAAGGGGGGAAGCACCTACAGGAGCTGCAGCGGGGTGGATGGGATCAGCCGGCCTCCAGAGAAGGGAACAGGCACCCCGGGTCTGGTGGATTCGATCGTTGCAGGGGGTAGGAGGGCAGGATCAGGCGGTGCGGGGGATACGGCCAAAGAGGATAGGAGGGGGGAACGTCCCATCTGCTCCCAGCCCAAGCAAAAATGAGACGTGAAGTCACACACACAAGCAGGAAATGCAGGGCAGGAACAGCCGGTAATGTAAAAACTACCGTTGGAATGCAGCTTACACAATTAGGACCAGTGACAAGGTCCAGGAGCCGTGTGCAGGCTCTACTCAACCTATAAAAGACTCTCCCATAGACTGGCTTCTTAAGCCCTGATGATGTCAGCAGTGGCTGACGAAAGCTTGGCATTTGTAAACTTGGTATTAAACTTTTATAGTTTAAGGATTCTCCCTGGTGTTCACTTTTATTTATTTATTTATTCTAAACATGGATGTATCCAGGGATCGTATTTTTAATGTTATTATTAGTGTATATCAGTGGTAGTCAACCTGGTCCCTACTGCCCACTAGTGGGCGTTCCAGCTTTCATGGTGGGCGGTAGGGGATTTGTCTGATATTGAAGCACTTTCCTTTTTTTAATTTAATTGACTTTTAAAAAAAAATTCATAGCATTATTTAAAAACATTTTCATTAGGTTTTCATAAAATTCCCCGTGACAATTTAAATTTCTGAAAATATATTATTTGTATCGCCCGCACATAAGTTTAGTTCACGTTACATAAGTGAAACTAAATGGCGCTATAGTGTGACCACAAACAAAAGAGCCTCGTCTCAGAATAGCTCGCACATCTTCCTCCACACCACCCAGCTGTAACAGACAAGCAGAGCTGGTAGCCGGCGCTCCCCGCAAACCCAATCCACGATGCGCGAGAGGCATGCACAGACAACAATACACGGCGCAGGCTCTTTTGTTTGTGGTTGCACTGGTCAGTACGCAGTTAGATTTGTGAGAGTGAACACGTGCCTACAGCTTCAAACAAAATATTGTGAGTCTATGTCTCAAAAAAAGAAATACGCTCGTGGCTATTTGCCAGAGTATCTGAAGATGGGTTTCATAGAATCTGTTGTAAATAAACAACATCCAATGTGTTTATTGTGTCATAAAACATTATCCAAGTCGATGAAGCCAAGTC